ATACGGTGGCACTCCTATTTCATCCATTTCATTTTATATTGACGGTGGTCCGATACAAATTATTTCTCCAACGACACGTTTAGTTTAGTTTGTAGTGACCCTACTTGCTGTGCCAGCGGTCGCGGGTTCGAGTCCCGCTTTGGTATTCATTTGTGTGATGAACACGAATGTTTGTACTCCAATCATAGATATTTTTATTTATAATATGTATGTATTTAAAGTTATATATGTACAGTGTATCAACTATCTAGTACCCACAACACAAGCCTCGTAGCTTAACATGGAACTAGATGGTGCTGTGTTAACGCCCCAACAAATTTGCTTATTTATTCAACTGGAGAGAGATCAAGGCACACTACGCGCTATTACGAGCTATTCAAGACAATGGAGATCAACATTACCGACTTTACTGTTCCTTCTAATAATTTCTTTCATAGTCTATAGTTATTTTAAACCCGCAAATCGGACTTTTCTTGGATCTAAAATTTCATGAACTTATGTTCCGAAGACTTAAAGATAATATTATGGTTGCTAGTCATTTAACCCTTAGAAATCTATATAGCTAGTTGGGACAATAATGAAAAGAAAATGTAAAGTCATATTTTATTACTAGCTTTGTCCGCGTCTCCGCCCGCGTTCAGATGACCAAAATATACTCTTACATTGCAGTTTTTGTATTTTTCTCAGAAATTAGACATTTTCCCCCGGTAAAAAGTATCCTATATGTGAACCGGGATAACCAGCTATTACCATACCAAATTTCATCAAAATCCCCCCTGTGGTTTTTCTGTGATGTGGTAACAGACAGACAGACAAAAATTCTAAAAACTATAGATTCGGCCTCTGTATCGATAATTATATTTATTTCAATAAGATTTTCCAAAAAATATTTAATGTACAGATTCGGCTTAGTTACAATTTTATTATATGTATAGATAGATAAATTAAAATACAATCTTAGTGATATCAATAACTTCTAGACCAATCGGAATCCGTTTATTTCTAAGAGATTTTTTTTATTGAAAACCTGAAGTTTTATGATTTTAAAATGTTAGCAGGTATATAAGGAATAGAAATTCGTAAAATGCCCCACATGCCCAGTTACCCCCGAGAAATGGGGGGACGCAAAGCGTTGAAAAAAATATTTTTTTTAATTTTCGGCTTACTGTGACGTTCTTTCGAAAAATGCTTTCTACAAAAGTTGTAGATCTATTAAAAATCTACAACTTCTATTAATAACACTTTTTACAACAACTTCAAAGTTTTCGAGATATTTGCAAAAAACTCGGTTTTTAACTGTTTCTTGGTTTTTTATTTTAAATTTCTAAAATAATCTTTTGATTTCCATGAAACTAAGGGAATATAATCTTCGAAATACATATATACTAAATTAAAAAAAAATTGAAATGTTTAGCCATTTCTGAGAAAAGAATGTTTTATGGTCTCGATAGGCTGAAAATCACCCCTAACTTCAAGTGGGCGTTTACATTTGAAAAAAATTGGTTCAATTTTTAGATAAGGTTCATTCTTTTCTTCGTGAACCTTACTTTTTGAAAATATAAAAAAATGTATGGTCATCTTGTAAAAACACCCTTAAAAAATTTTAAAATTGGAGAAATCGATAATTTTTACTTTGTAAACTACATTATTTTCAGTTATTATGAATGAAGAAATGAAGAAGTGCACTTTATGGACCAAATTTTTATGAATCCATTACACCAATGTATTTTTCAGGAAAAACGAAAAAAAATGGTGTCCTTAAGTTTTTAATTTGACGCTTATTATTTATACAATATCGCCATAAACATTCCAACTTTTCAATTTAATGAGTCGTGAAAAAATAATAAAAGTAGGAATTCACGTAAAATATACCAGTGATTTTGTATTTTTTGCTGTAAAATCTATTTATGTTATAATTTATTCGAAATTATCGATATTTTATTAGTTTTTGATTGATTCTGGGGTTGATTTTATTGATTTTTCTGAAAAATAATATTTTAAGGTAATTACAGAAAGAAATGAAATTCATTCATACTCAAAACTCATACATAAATACTTTAATCTTGTTCACCAACATGTGAAAAGCAGCTTTTGGAATTCAATATTTTGGCCCAACGTGCTGGCCCAGCATCTTGGCCCAATATGCACAGCAGTCTTTAGGTTATCTACAATATAAGTTCAGATCATATAATACCACACTATAAAATTTTATTAGACATTTCTGCTATAAAATATAATAGCATGAATAGTGAAATAGTAGTTAATCACGAATATTGAATTTCGTTCGATCGCGACGAAAACTCATCAGTTCTTGTGTATACGTATTTTAGGTTAATTTACTCCCTATAAATCATACCGTGTGATCGTTCGGAGCGACTTCAGAAAATATTGTAATATCTAATTATATCTAAAAGTGTTATAAAAGCCACTTTATGTGTTATCTATTAGATAAAGCCAGTGGTAGGTCGCTGAACGCGCTCGAAACGGGTTCAAGTTCAGTCTCACACATCTGATATTCTCATGTGCGAATCTTTTTTTATTGTAATTACCACGTCTTGCTTTACGGCAAAGGAAAACATCTTTACCATTACATCTTTATTATAAGGGCACACGGAGCCCGTCATATTCTGGCATGCCTAGCTGATTACAATCAGAACTAGTAATTTAGTAATTTGGACGCTGGAAAATTCTTTATTATCTGTATTTGATATTTCGTTGGTTGGTACGGGTATTGCACAGCTTTGTAGTGGTGGGAGGGCTCATTGTCGTCTGGCAATTCAGCCGGGCCCGAAGCCAAGAAACGCACTGAGAGGCGGCCTACCTCGGTGAGCGGTGTGCCATGTCGGTTGCTCCTGGTACTTCTCTGCTAGCAGAGTGGACTGTTGGCGACCCCATGGCTGTTGTGGTCTGCTTTGGCAGACCTGCCGTCGGGATGTTGTGGTTGAGTGCGTAAGTAATCCCGCCACGCCCCACTAAGACTAACCTAGCCAGTCGAACTCCGCCCAGAAGCGCAGAAGTTTCGGAACTTCACAGGCTTCGCGGAATGACCTCACTGATTCGAAGATTTCTTTGCATTGATAAGCCACTGCCTCGCATTCCAAGCTTACGTAGATGATTGACTATTCGACACTGATATATGATATACATATTATGTTATATTAAACTGACCTGTCCTTGTACAGAAAATGTTAATCTCCCTCTGCTATATAAATATTACTTAAATATTGTGCATATTATTCACATCACCGCACACTCTTACAGTATTCCTTCATTTTAAAACCTATTGTAGTTTATAAATTAGTATTTTATTTATTTATTTCTTATGAGGAACAAGAGCACAAACATGTTCCTTGTAAGGTTCCTGATAAAAACAAACTGGTTTTTTAGTTTTTTAGTATACAGATATTTTTATCATTTTTGTGAATTATTTTTGTTATATTCATATACACTCAATAATCTAAGTAATTCTCTTGTTTAATTAACTTATAATAAATATTTTTTTAAAGAAATAACACGCTACAAAACAGCTATGTTATATTACTCGAACAACATACATATTCTGAATATAATGTTTGCTGATAAAGCTGTTCTTTTATCTGGCGCCAGCTCTGGTATCCGTACCCAAACTGCCGTGGAGTTTTCTCAACTAGGAGCCAATATCGTAATAACGCGACGGAATAAATCAAAATTAGACAGTGTTGCAAAATTGTCTGAAAAAAGGTCTCCGAAAAATTTTAAGCCCATACTTGTCATCTCCGATATGAACAACGAAAATAATATTGAAAGCATAATAAAAATAACTAAAGATAATTTTTTAATTAAATTTCTAAGGATGGTTCGATGGATCATGGAACCCGTTATTGTGTTTTAACGTAGAAATAAAGATTTTCCAGTAGTAAAAGGCGTTCCTAATGTTGACCCGAGTAATAAGTTATAATTACACAAAATTTGGTTAAAATCGGTTCACTACTTTAAGCGAAACCGCACACACAAACAGACAAAAAGACATTTTTAAAACTCCCCACTCCCCTGGTAATACGTGGTGAGGTTTTAGACAACCCCCTTGCTCTCTATTCAAAATTACGTGAATTTTTTGGTACAAAGCTTTAAATTTTTTTAGTATATTATCTTTAAATATGTAAAGGTATAATCTAATTTAGGTTAAGTTTAGTAGATCCAGAAATTACCTCCTACAACCTCACAAACTCACAAACATAACTGAATACCTACAATAAATAACATAAAACATAACAATAAATAACAAAAAATATTTCATTTTGTTGTCTTTGTTCTAACGTATGTCCTTGTGTGCACATCTCACTTTGTACAACATATTTTATGTACATATTATATACCCTATTAAGGTATTTCAAGTATCCACTTAGCAAAAATCAATGTTTATTATTTGTATTTTGGTAGAATTAGATTTAACTTCACTATCATAATCTTTAAATAAGTGGCAATGAATAGTTTATTGATCTTTAATAGATAGGTACTCTTTGATTTATGTAATGGAATAGATTATCCAATGGGTATGGGTACTTGCGTTGCGATCATATTCGTCATTATTATTATTTATTAGCGACCTTTAGAATTATTACAAATTGCGATAATTTTTATTTTAAATACAGTCATGAAAATGTTTTAAAATGCTGACGTAGGTACTAGAAACATTTCAGTCTAGATACAATAAATTGAAGGAACGGACAAGAACTAACCTATATAAATAAAAATGTAAATGTTTGTCTGTAGATGGCATATTTCGAAAGTTCCTTACCGATTGTTTTGAAATGGCCACTATTGTGCACACTGTCTTTTTTACTAGATGGGACTAGACCCCACTAATAATTATAAAGGTATTTATATAAGAAAAATATTTTTAATCTATTCTAAACTGCAACATTTCCTTGACTGTTAATGCTCACAAAAACAAGAGACACGAGCTATAAATAAAACAATAGAAGTATATGAATAAGTATATATTTTATTTTCAAAGTTTAAACTGAACTTAATGTAGGAGATTCGTTATTGCCAATAAGAGAAGTATAAATCGAAGAAACAGAGCAGCTTCCAATGTCCACGTAAATCTTAGCGGTGCGTACTCCGGCCTCTACGATCCCTGCACCCGCACATATTTCCAGAGCTGCTGGCAACGTTGCCAAAGCTAGGTCGATACGAGCGATCTGAAATATAAATGAATCCATTTGTATATTGGCGTTACTTTTAATTTTGTCTACAGTGTTAATATGAGATTTAAAATAATTACCAAAAATCCACTCTGAGTAGCGAAAACAGCTCCATTTAACTCAGTTGTTACAGCAATGCGTCCAAAACACGCGCCGGCGATTATAATTCCTTGTCCGTTTTCATTACATTGTTTTAATTCGGTCACAACGTTACTGATGTAGTCCGTAGCATTAGATGCTAGATTTTTAAGGGATTCGATCAAGTTTTCAACATCTTCAATGCGTTTATCGGCACATAGTTTTGATTTGTCAATAATATCCACGAAAACGTCGTCTGATTCCTTTGCGTGCGACTGTAAATAAACGAAATTTTCGAAAAATTAGAATAACTCATTTTGCTTAACCATCTTTAATCATTAACCAAATTCCAAAAAGGAGAAGGTTATCGACTAGATTTTTTTTTATATTAATTAATCTCGACATCCCCACATCACATCACCATGTTCAAGGCCAGGAATTCCTAAAGCTCAAATGTATCAATCTTGTACATTAAATTTCAAATTATAAGCCATAAATTTAAATAATTGAAGTAAATATTTAGGTTGTCGTAATTATTGCATATTATGTTGTTAGAATTTATGATAATTACATGTTTTCAAAGCGTACCTCAATGCAGTTGCGCACGCCCTGCTCGGCCCCCGTAAATCTGTCCGTGATATTTTTAATTGCATCATTAAATCTTTGTCTAAAGTTCTTTATGTCATCTACAATTTTTTCGGCAAATTGTTTTCCCAGATCATTGATGCCAGATGTGAATTTGTTCACAGCTTCCAGAGCTTGTTTAGCGGAATCACGTAGATTTTGGATCAACTCTTCTACAAGTAAACTGTAAAATATTTCATATATATATATATATATATATATATATATATATATATATATATATATATTATATCAACTTATAACCTATTATTATGTGAAGGTTTTTAAAGATGTTTAAAGACTGTATCTCTTTCATGTCTAAGCCGTTAAACGAATCTAAACAATTAACACGTCATGGGTCAGGAGATCCTGGAATCGAGTATCGGGTCGCCAAGTATAGTAGTTATTAGATTTTCTGTGAAAAGAATATCACTAACAGCTAGGAGTTGGGAAATTTTTGGGATTTTACCTTGGTGCCTCAAATTTTACAAAATGAATTTAAATAAAAAAAATATGCAACAGAAATACTTATTAGATATTACCTCGAATTTGCTAAGAAGTCTACATCACGGCGCTGGCGTAACAATAAAGCATTCTTCGATGGATTCCCTAAAGCGGAAAATACCTGTTATGTATAAAAAATATTATGATAAGTTTATTAATTATAAGGTATTTTTTTATGTTGGGAAATGCATTTAGGCATACCATCTGTATACATATAGGTAGTAATGTGACACTCACCGGCTAAAAAAACCAGTACTACCCACTAAAACAAAACAAAATCTCCCCCGTCTTAATGGGGCGTTGCAGGATCGGTTACGCCAGGACTCCACCAGGACGCTCCGGCGACAAGCCTGCCGAAGCAGATCACAACAACCATGGGATTGCTCCCACGATCTACTCTGCTATTGCCGGACGCTTATGAGCCTCTCCACCATGACAAGGTGAACGCAAGTTGGTGGGAATTAAAGCAGTTCTTAAATTGTTTATGTACTAAATTAAAGTTAATAATTAACTTATCTATACTAATGATGATGTTCTCCTAGCCGATTCCGGCCACGGCGGCCAATCTCAATGAGATTAGCCAACTGCGCAGGAGATATTATAGTGCTCAAGTGTACGCGCAGACACAAGTGCACTCTCTATTCCTATCACTCTCATACTCCGGTGGGACGACCACTCGACATGACCGGTGAGAGTTAAGGCGCAGGACCGACGGCTTTACGTGATCTCCGAGGCACGGGGGTGAAACACCGCCAACTTCCCAACTCCGGGCTGTTACTGAGACTTACTATACAGGAAGACTCAATAACTAAACTTGGCCCGACCCGGGACTCGAACCCAGGACCTCCGGGTGTGCAGCCGTACATGCTAGCCACTACACCACCGAGGCAGTTACTAATACTAATATCTATACTAATACTTATATCATAAATAGGTAAAGTTAGTGAGATTGTGAGCTTGTGACGTTGTAGGGGGTAATCTCTGGATCTACTGAACCGATTTAGATAAAATTTGGTAAGAAGATAGAAGTTTGAGACCCTGGGAAGGATATAGAATACTTTTTATCCTGGAAATCATCCCTTAAGGAAGTGAAAATGGGGATGAAAGTTTGTATGGAGAATCAAGCAAGGGACGCAAGTAAGGGACGAACCCGAGCGAAGCGAGAGTGAGTCGCTACTTTTATATATATTTATATAGTAGGTAAGGACCTATATAATATTTTAACGAATAGATTTTTAGACGTTGGAGAAACAATTGCGAATATAGAAAATAGTTTTAAGGTCATATAATAAAAAGTTGTTATAAAAAATATTTTCATTACGGCACAGGAAAACACAATTATTGTTTTATTATTTTCAGAATAGGTAATTGCATTATGTATTACTACTTGTTGAGACTTTAAATATTACCTATAAAATTTTGAAAATTATAAGTGCTTAGGTTACTTACGAAACACAAGGCAAAGAGTGCTAGGATGATCTTCATTTTTAGTAGACTTTTAACAATATCTAACAATGTAATGGTACACAGTATGAATATATGGTTTTTATATGATGTTCTTGCAAAATGCACTATTTACTTTATAACTATACAAATGACTGTTATCTTATCTAATTCATGGGATATTAAATGCGCAAAGCAAAGTAAACACACGAAATGGTTATAGGTAATTATTTACTTTGCTATTAATGATTGGCCTAAAATTATTACATTATACTTCGTTGTAATAAAATATTGATCTAAGGATTAACAGTAGTTTAACTGACATATATTTAACAGAATTCTTACCTTGGTGTTCTACTAAAATAAAACGAATTTCGGTCATGATAGCCAATCTCACCGAGCTAAACCATCCATGCCGGGGCGGAGACACTATAGTACACAAGTTCGTAAGCAAATACGGTCGCACTCCTATTTCTTCCATCTCATTGTCTGTTGAATTGACGACACATTTGGCTCAGTTTGTGTACTTAATGTACTTGCTACAGCTCTGTACTTGCTGTGCCAGCGGTCACGAGTTCGAGTCACTTCTTCTCTTGTACTTCAGTCATGTATTTATAACTAGCGACTCACGTTCCTAGGTACGTTTTATTGGTTAGTATAGATTTCACAGTAAAAAGTATCCTATATGTTGACTCGGATAACCAGCTTTCATCGTACCAAATCTCATCAAAATCCCTCCGGTGATTTTTCCGTGATGCGGTCACAGACGTACCTATATATATAAAGTCTATTTTAATAGATTTTTCAAAAAAAACATTTAATGTATAGATTCGGCTTAGTTTCAAATATAATATTAGTAGAGATATGTATGTACGTATTTAAAGTTATATATGTCTATCTGGTATCCATAACACAAGCCTCGTAGCTTACCATGGAACTAGATTGTTTAATGTCTCAACAATAACAACATATTTATTTAGTCAAATACAACTTTGGTCAGATACAACTGGAGAGGGATCAAGGCACAGAACGCGCCATTGCGAACTGTTCGAGATACTGTTGTTCAACATGACCGACTTTACTGTTTCTTCTAATAATTTCTGTCATAGTCAATAGCTTTAAACGCACAAATCGGACCTTTCCTGGATCTAAAATTTCATGACCTTATCTTCTGAAGACTTAAAAGTTAAAACCAATAAGTAAAACAATAATACACTTTTTCTTTCTATTGCTTTTAATATAGTGAGTAAGACGACGTCTATAGTATTTTTTGATGTGACTAAAATAAAAAAACATGTATTTTACGACTCAAAACGTTATATATTTCTATAATAAACGTATACTTTTAGTTTCTACAATATTGAGTATACACTTATATATATAGCAATATACTCTATCGTTAACTCGAGACAATAGACAAGAGAGAAAAAAACAGGGTTACCAACTAATTAATGTAATTACATTGCCATTTTTTAACATTTTTAATGATAGAATGGCCTACATAATTTTATAGCTTTTGCTATAAAATATGCAGTAGGTCACATACCGATAATTGCTATGTGAACGGTTTCTTCTAAATAATAATATAATATAAATATAAATTTCTATTCACTCAGTGGAGAGGGTGAAGTAAGTACCTACTACCTACTAAGCAGAAAATACTGTGATATTTTCATAATAAAATTTTCTTTTGGTTTTTTAACTGTCCAAATCTTAATTAATATTATAAACTCATATAATAGTATGAATTTTCGTATCGGAAACTATTTATATGGAATTGTTTAATGTTGAAAAGAAATTATCGATTAAATCTTCTTAGAACTATAAACTGAAAATTTTCTTATAATAATCTATTACTAACATAATAAGAGATAGAAACCATCGATACACATACATAGATTATTTTTAAAATTAAATAGGTAAGTAGGTACCTAAGTAAAAACTTAAGCATGAAATGATAATAAGTATCTATAAATTATAATATACCTATCACATAGCAATGTTTGTTTACTGTACGTTCTTTACTATACCAACAAACTTGATTAAATAGTAAATAAAGACGATTTCGATGTAATTTATAAACAAGTGTGGTGTAATTAGGGCTTCTTACAAATAAAGAGTATTTTGTAAGTTAAAATTCAAGGCCTTTTAGATAAAATTAAAACAAGTATTACATATCACATAATATTATCTACTAAAAAAAATTTAACCGGCTTCAAAAAAATAGCTTAAAATTATGAATTAATAGTTTATTTATATATACTTACACTAAATTAAGTAACAAAACGAAATCAAAAATAGTAACGAAACAAATTAGGGGTTTGCTATTTTTTTTGAGGTCGGTTTTATTTTTTACTTTAATGTTTTTGAAATCAATATATATATATATATATTAGGGCGACCCAAAAAAAAGGATTATTTTTTTTTTCATGTCTCGTGTGAAAATATGTTAGTTTACTATGTTTTAAGAGTCCCCTCCAAAGGACAGCTCAAAAAAAAATTTTTTAAAGGTCGCTCACAATTTTTTTAAATTTCCTAAATCCTCAAAAATCGTTTTTTTTTCAAATGCTTTTTCTCGTAATTTCATTTCTTTTTACATGAAAAATTATGAAGATCCTGAAAATTTCAAGTCAAAATTTTTATATTTAGAGGTCGCTACAATTTTTTTAAGTTTTCAAATCGAGTAGGTACTTTATATCTATTTGAGCAACTTCTTAACATGAATATTAACGAAATTAATATTTTTTTCCTTAAATTTCACATGCTAAAGAATGAAATTAAAGCACGAGATAATTTTTTTTTTGTTTCTATATATATATATATATATATATATATATATATATATATATATATATATATAAATGAATCCCTATTTCCCTTGGTCACGCCATCACGCGTGAACGGCTGAAGCGATTTAACTATATTTTTTGTTGTGTTTGTTATTGTCAGGAGAAGGTTTTTATGAAATAAAAAAATTAAACATTGCGCAGAAATTTATAAAACAACCATATCTAAATTAAATGGCTAACGCTGGGTGATAACTATTTATATATATTTAAAACGTACCTAGCGACGAACCGCCAGTATATTATAAAAGAGCTAGTATATTATACAAATAAAAACCCGACTGCATAACAGTTAACTACAAAGATAAAAACAAGTTGATGAAGGAATAGATATGGTATTATGCATACGGAGTTAAACTTCACGTTTCATACTTGCCGCGAGATGTATGGAAGTACAAAACTGTATGTCTCCGACTGCATAATACTATATTCCTTTTTTTTTTTTTTTTTAACGTTGGGAAATGCATTTACGCACGACGTGTGGGACTCACCAGCGTAATACGGCCAGTACTACCCACTAAAACCCAACAAAACCTTCCCCCGTCTTAATGGGGCGTCGCAGGATCGCTTACGCATTCAACTACGACGCCCCGACGGCAGGTCTGCCAAAGCAGACCACCACAACCATGGGGTAGCTCCAAGGTCCACTCTGCTATCAGAGAAGTACCAGGAGCAACCCGTAAGGTACACCGCCCCCCGAAGAGGGCCACCTCCCACCGCCCACCGACGTGGGCAACCTCCCTGTGCGTTTCTTAGCTTCGCTACTACTACTGAGCCCCCCCACCACGACAAGGTGAACGCACGTTGGGGGGGATAATACTATATTCCTTAGTCAACTTGTTTTCAACTTTTTAGTTCGCTGTTATGCAGTCGGGTTTTTTTTTATTTTTTATTTATGGCTTTTAGTTTTTGATAATTAGACATTTGAAGTAATATTTATTTATTAAACATATAAGTTGTATATATTTTTGTGATCGCCTCTTAAAAACATTTATTTTGATACCCCACTCGATTGGTTTAAAAGTTTTTTTTTTTAATTTTTAACTATTTTTATATATGACACTCGCGTCATTAATACGAAACTAACGACGTACGAATCATAAAAATCGGCTCACGTCTTTGGTATCTAGAACAAACATACATACATTTATTGATAAACATTTAATTAATACCCTCCTTTAAGAAAAATACTAAAATATAAATATAAAGTACATACCTGTTATAAGTAGGAAAATTAGGGAGAATGGTTGTTAACCAACTTTAAATCGATATATATTCTAAGCTGTTATTTAAAGTGAAAAATGATAAATTCGTTGATTTTCTTTTCATTTTGACAATGGCACGACAAATGGCGTCTGGTTGTCACTGTGGTGACTTTTGATTTCTGTCTTGCCTTTAGTGACTTTCGCAAGGTTAAGACGAATCGATTGATGTAGAATTATTAAAATCGGCCTACCCGTTGGTCTCGAGAACGCCATACAGGAACAAACATACATACATAGACTGATAAACACATTACCCTCCTTTGGTAACAAATAGACCTTTCTTCCTTTAGTCAAAATTATGTTTATATACCATTTGCTGTCCACTTCTTAAAAGACATAACACCACGCCTTATCCGTTATCGCCTTTACTGGTGACAGGAGGAGCTGGCTCATTTTTGCCCAAAGAATCGGCATTGCCATTCACGGGAATGCGGCTAGCATTCTTGCCACTATTCCACGCGGACATCGCTTGGACAGTAATAATTAAGGGTACATTTGTTTTGTAGATATAATTAAGTATCTTTTGCTTAATTTTAAATATTTTCAATCATACTATTTATCGAGAAATTTCGGAAGCGAGAGAAAACGGGACATAATAATATTATTCAGTGCTACAACACTAGGTTCCTATATGAATTTTATAGCAATCAAAATATTTCACACTGATTGATTTTGCAAAATTTTCCGACTAGGCGTTTTATATTATAAGTACCTTTTATTATGATCTTTTGGTTTATATTACGTACTTAGTTATAATATGGGTGAATGAATTTTAAATATTCGTTAGCAATTATATTGTTCCTTTTATTTTGGACCTTGAACTGAACCGGATTGGCTTTCAAATATGTACTGCAAATTTTTTCTTATACTTTATGAACGTTTTATATTGTTTATTAAATTCATTAATCACAATGTCCGGGTGTTTATCTACATATTTACGAATATTATTATGTATATAGTCAAGGGTTGTTTGCGATCTAATAGTATCTAATTAATGTTTTTTAGTATAACTAACATACCTAAAAAAAGGGGCATTTTCGCTTGAAATATTTTAGTTTAAGATCCAAAGTAAAGTCGTTCTTTAGATACAAACAAATATAGTGCAGAAGGCTAAGTTGGTTTGTAAAATTTAATACTAATTACTTTTTATCTTATAAGAAGGTAGATGACGTTTAACAGCCTAAAGGATCAAACTCAAGACCGACTGCTTGAAGTACCTACTCTCCTATCATGGGATTGAATAACCACCAACTTTAAAACTTAGCGCTGCCAAAAATTGCCGATTCGAACATCGAGTCGAGGACTTTACGGCTGCAGATTATAAAAATCTGCAGCCGTAAAGTTAGCCTCTACTCTCTAGTAAGATATCA